CCTCTCTCTCTCTACTCTCTCTCTCTCTCTCTCTCTCTCTCTCTCTCTCTCTCTCTCTCTAGGACACTTGAAAGAAACCTTTTTAACTGCAGCTGTGACATCCGCTGGATTCAGCTCTGGCAGGAGAAGGGTGAAGCAAACCTGCAGAAACAGGAGCTGTACTGCATGAACATGGAGGCTGCTGTCATTCCCCTGCAGGAGATGAACATCACCCAGTGTGGTAAGGAAAGCCCTATATGTGCTCCGGTTCACCTTTCTCCCAAGGCTATAGAGAGAGGAGGCAAGGAGAGGCCCTTTGCTCCCCTTGCCCATCCTACAAGGAGTACCCAATGACAGGGAATAGATTAGGATAGTTTATGAATACAAATGGTGTCGGTAGTTGAACTTGGAATATTATTCCTCATGGTTCAGAGCATTAGCTAATCATCAGCTGTGTTTGGGAAGAAATTCCCTCAATGGCATAATATCATCAGCCAAGGTACATTGTGGTTGGTCCATGCCTTAGCCTGAAGCAGCAGGAATTGTCCATTTGTTCGAGACCGGATAGCTTCCTGTGGTTATCCTTCTGTTTAACCGACACTAGAAACTACTTGTATTAAAGGGACACGGGCAGCTTGATTTTTTTTTAAATAATTTTTTCAGTTGGTGCACATTTAAAATAGCAGATCCTTAAAGTTTTACGTGTGTGTGTGCGTGCGCACGTGATTGTATATTTTTCTGCTCCCTGCTGCTCTTTTTGGGTGGGCCTATGAGCAACCTCAAACATGCTCTGGGCTGCCCCTTCTCCCAGCACTTTCCCTTTGTTCACCCTTAGTCTGCTGCCTTTTCAGTTTCAGCTCCACTACTGCTGGTACTGGCAAGCAGGACCTAGGGAAGGTCCTGTACCAAGAATGGAGCCGTGAAGGAGGCTGTAGACTAGGAGCTGTCAAATGAACAGTCTGGGGAAAAAAGAGAAACTTTTTTTTTAAATTTTACATCTTTCTATTCTAGGAGTGTTAGGGTGTTTCTTGTAACAACAGTAGATGCACTGTTTTCAGCTGGAGATACGGCATATGACTCTCAAGTTTATAATGTCTCTTTAGTCTAACCCTTCTTTATTAAAACCTGGACATGGGCTGAAATATCTGCAGGTAGGAGAACTAAAGAGATTTGAGAGAGAACTATAATTTCCTCCACAAATGAGAAGAATAATCCTCAATGATTAGAAAATCCTCCATGAACAAGGAAAGGGGGAGAGAGGACTCCTACTGCTATTGGACGTGAGAGAACAACAGGGTGTTTTATGTACATAAATCTCCTGGGTTTACCAGGTGAGCAGCTCCACTGACCCCCCCCAGCCCCTAAAGATCCCTAAAAAATAGAGAGAAGGCAGGAAAAGAAGATGCCCAGCTAAGATCTTTCCTCCCGAGATGAATCTTTCAGTCAGAGATTTAGTGGGCAAGCATCCAAATGGCTCAAAGTATTTTCCAACGAGGCTTACTTTATCCTTGCATTCTGTCCTGCCAGGTGGTGCAGCTAGTTCAGGTCTGATATGTGGGGTGTGGCAGAATACGTGCACCGTACAGGCTCCTGCCCAACTCTCACTGCCGTGTTAACGCTACTCAAGAGTGAATTGCAGCCTCTCTTGGGCTCCCCTCTTAGCTCTGCCAATGCATCTCAGTCCTGACCTGCAGCACCTTTGCTATTCCTAGAGACTCTCGTGACTCAGAGATCCCACAGGGACAAGAACAGACCCATAACTCTGGATTCACTTTTGAACTGGGTCAAAGTTTGAACCCAAGTCTTCAGAAGAGAGAGGCCATTGCACTGACCCATTGCCTTCTATTCCCATCTTGTTCATTCAGGGCCCCCTCTCCCCCCCCTTTACACATGCTGCAGCCCTCAATGCCCCCCCTTATGCATGCTGTGTCCAGTCACCCTCCTGTGTATCACCCTCCCTTCTGTATTGCTGCTGGCACTGCCTCTGGTACTCTGTGTGAGCGTTTGGTGGCTGGGTGACTCAGCAGGACAGAGGAGTAAGTCAGAGCCACTATAAATCAGTATTTCTTTGGCACCTCAGAGGGAAGAGCAGGGGCGTCTTTCATTAGCAGAGATGTTGTTAATATGAAGACACGTCCCTGGTCATCTTCTCTCGATCGTTATAAATTAGAGAGAAACTCTCTCTCTTCCCCTTAAGTGCCAGGAGCTCTGTGCCCTGTCCTAGCTCAGGCTGGATCTCTTGCCAGTGATTCCTTAGAAGCGGCTTTATTCCTCCCAGACCTCTGCACTAGCCCAGGATACAGGTGCCAGGGGCTTGGGGGAAAGGGGAGAAGGGACATAGGTTTGGATGGCAACTAGCACTTGGGCCAAACTTCCTGACTTGTGTGCAATGTCAGAATTGCAAAACACAGAGAAGATCCATCCATCCACCTGGTGATGTCCCCCGTGTCACTCATCTCTTCCAGCACGAGAAGGCCAAGTTACTTGCCACCTCCTGTACTTCCCCCTCCCCTTCCTTCATTCGGAAGCACAGGACAGTGCAGGCTGCTTTGCTGTAAGGTGAAGCCTGGCTGGGAGACGGAGCTCATGGGGATCAGAATCCAAGTGCCTTGGCTGGCCAGGGTGCCCTAAGTGTCCTGGTGTTTGACTCTCTTAGATCTGCCCGAGATCAGCGTCAGCCACATTAACCTGACTGTGCGGGAAGGTGAGAACGCGGTGATCACCTGCAATGGCTCAGGCTCGCCGCTGCCAGACGTAGACTGGACGGTTGCAGATCTGCACTCCATCACTACTCACCAGGTAGGAGGCCCAGGGGCTTGCGTGGCTGGGCATTGACTGCCCTTGCCAAGGTCCATCGCCAGGGTGTTAACACACAGCACAGCAGTTGGGGTGTTGGCCGTGGGAATTTTCCGGGTCTTCGTTTCCTTTGTATTCCATTTTAATAGGGCTGGATGAGTGTTGATCACCACGGGGGAGAAGTGAAATGCAGGGATTGTTTGAAATGGATTGTATAGTCCCCACCAGCGTCAGATTAGGAACCCTGGGTTAGCAGAGTATTAGCGGGTGGCATGCAGATATTGAATCCAGGCAGGAAAACAGCTCTTCCTGCGGGCTGATCGTTTCACACCTTCAGTGCTCCCTTGGTTGCATGTTAGCCTGTCTCCATGAGCAAAATTATCTGTCGCTGACAATGGTGTGTCAACAATAGGTGCAGCTGAACGTGGTTTAACTGCAAGTAGAGGCAGGGACATACCCTGCTTAGCACTGTTTCAGAAGCTGTGATTATAACCTCCTTGGACCAAGTGCGTGGGTGCACTGTGGTGCTCGTGGTGCCATGAAACTGAAATCCTGCCCGGCCACAGTTGTTAGAGACCATGGCATTTCATACAGGAGTTGGGATCTTCTGGTCCTGGGCCCGGGAGGTGGGCAGGCTGGCATCATTTGTTGGTTTTGTCCTTATTGTTCTTTTTGGGGATTTGCAGACAAACCTCAACTGGACTAACGTTCATGCCATCAATTTGACTCTGGTGAACGTCACCAGTGAGGATAACGGGTTCCTCCTGACATGTATTGCTGAGAACGTGGTGGGAATGACCAATGCCAGTGTGCTGCTCACGGTCTACTGTAAGTAGAGGCAGGGAGATGCTGGCTATACATGGGCTGATGGGAGGGTGAGCATGGGAACTATTTGAATGTGTCTCCCGTGGGGAATTGTGTGTCACCAGGCTATGCTGTGCTTATCTTGATTTGCTGCCGTGGAGGATGTGGACACGGAGTCAGAATTGCTGCAGGAGACTGAGGCAGGGACCAGTTCTAGGACTGTAAAAGGAAATGTACAGAGCTTTCATTATGGGCCAATTACTGTGTCCTCCAGCTTCTCTCCATTTTAGCTTCCCTGCAGAAACGGGCATACTCCCGGTGTGGGTGTGCCAGTCCCACACTTGCACATGTGCAGTGGGCACCTGATGGGTTGAACGGCTGAGTCTGTGCCTGCATGCCTCACTGGCACGTTCAAGTGGCTACTTGCATTCACAAAGCAGCACTGGAAAATCCAGTGGGGTGAGGATGTGCCCAGCAGGGGCTAAAACCTTCTCTCTGCATTTGTAAGTGAGTCACTCATCCCTTAGCCTCATTGAAATCCATGGAAGTTTTGCCATTGACTACAGTGGAGTCAGGATTTCATCCCAGCTCTGTTCCTACCAGGTTAATCAGTGAACACTGTGTAAACATGTGCCAAACAAGGTTTAAAACAATTTACTTATAGGCTGTAGAGAGCTAAACTTTCATGTGCTTCCTAATATAACTTAATAAAAACCAGACCTTAGCAGGAGTTTACGCAGCTTTGCTGCCTCAGGCAGCCGGGACTTACCATGTGTTGCTGGGTCCATAACATTTGCCCTTAATCTGTGGTCTGGAAATCCCCCATCCCTCACCCCTGCTGGTACCTGTGTAAACTGGAGAATTATGCCCTGTTATCCCATGCAGCGCGGGCACCATTGGGTGCCTATAGAGATGAGGCAGAACTGTAGACAATAGAATATTGGAAGGAGAATAAAAGGTACATCATTCTCTGGTCTCCCCCAAAATAAATAATTTTGGTGTGTTTGGATGGGTTGGGGGCTTTGGTTGCCTAAATTAATACAGTTCCAGATCTGATCAGCTGGAAGGAGACAGGTAAAGTGCTTTACTCTGGAGTCGTTTACTGCAAACCCTTTAAGTGCCACCATGTTGATGCTAATTTTCATGTCCAGAATCCTGCAAGCCAGTGCCAGTTTGTACCATACTTGCTCTAATGTAATCATTCTGAAAAGAGCTGATATTTTGGTGTATCGGTGACTAATTGCTTTGGTACCCTCCTAGTCATTCACCCAGAGATGTATGGAACTAAATTCCGACCGAGGCTTACAGGTGAAACATGCTGGGTGGGACTCTGCACAGTCTCTGGGTTAGCAGCCGTGTTTCAGGATTGAGGTCCATTGGCTGAGTTGTGAGTGGAGAATCTTGCACGGCTCCTCCCAGCTCTACCTCTCTCTCTTTGGCATTGGTGTTCCTCCACTTTCACAACATGAAACCAGCGCCATATTATTGCTTAGGCCGACAAATTTGTAGGGGCAGAAGCTCCCCTCCGCGCCCCGCCCCCCTGCTCCAGCTCACCTCCGCCTCCTCTGCAAGCACGCGTCCGCGTCCTGTTTCTCTCCCCTCCCAGCGCTTGTGCCGCGAAACAACTGTTTCGCGGGGCAGGGAGGGAGGAGGGGGAACGCCGCGCGCTGGGGAAGAGGCGGGGCTGGGGGCGGAGATTTGGGGAAGGGATCCAATAGGGGAAGGGAGGGGGCGGAGTTGGGGTGGGGACTTTGGGGAGGGGATTGTGATGGGGGCGGGAAAAGGGCGGAGTCGGGGCGGGGCCAGGGCAGCAATTATTTCCCGGCCTAGTGGCGGCAAAATTATTAATCCTCCACTGCATGAAACGTTGACCATCTTTACAAAAAAGAGAGAGGAAAGTTGATGGATCTTTCCTGTTAGTTAGGGGCTGCCTGGGGGCATGACCCCAGCCCTCAGTATGGGGTGAGAGCCAGGGAAAGGAGAGTGCTTAGGAAAGAATAGAAGAATCTTAGGAAATCGTGATCCTTGCCCCACAGTACTGGGCCATCTTTGGTCATGCTCTGTGGCCTCAGTGTTTGGGGCCTTACATGTGATGCTGTAATTAAGTTTTCATCAGCGATGGTGGAGCGGAGTTTGAATTCTTGAGGCGTGGATATCCTCAGTTCAGAGGCCTCTCAGGAGAGGGGACCGTCAATATGTATTAAATGGAGGTGAGCTCCCAGCTTTAATCCCTGTCCTGCTACATGCCCTCTAATTGTAACAATCCTGGAGGATATTCAACCAATTAGAGCTCCCCCAGGGAGATTCAACCAATCAAAGCCCCCAAGGATATGCAGCCATTCAGAAGTCCTGAGGGATATTTGCTTGAATGGCTGAGAATTCCTAAACTACTGAATGTGACCAGAGAGCCCCAAGGGGGAATACAACAATATGCTAAGTGGAGTTACAAACTTAATTTGGGCTGGTCTGCAGGGGTCCAAATGCAAGATCTGATCTCAGACCTTGTTTCCCAGACCTATGGAGCTGGCACTGCTTGTAGTGCTGCCTTTATAGAGGCTAGAGTGGCTCAGTGGTGCCCCTTCAGGTTGATGCTTTGCATGAACCCATTCGGTCCTCCACACCAGAGCAAAGGCTGCTGTGAAGCAGGGCCACTTGGGAATTAAACTGGTGGGGTGAGGAGGAGTGGGGCTGCAAAGTAAGGGGTTCCAGTGGACATTTTTAATTTCTATTATGTAGCCATTATCCAGGGCAGGGCGGAGCCTGGTTACGTGTTTCTTTATTGGGGATTTTGACTGTTGAGACTGACTGTCCCTCTATCCTGCACTGCTCGTTACATGCCCACTAAAATGAATGTGAACAACCCTCAAACACGTGTTGGGAAGGGCCTTGCACCAGTGTGATGTGAGTGCTATGAAATGCTATGAGAGCAACTCCCAGCTGAGACAAGCTTAGTTGATTTCGTGTCATCAAGTCCAGAGGGAAGGGACGAGACAATTAAATAACAGCAGGTCATCTCCTACTGCCAAAACCAGGCTGGGTTCCTTTGGGCAAGGCTCCATTCCAGCTCACCTGGTAAGGCTGCTGCTTACAGACGACAAGGATCCCAGTTCACATTGCAGCTGCAGTAGCGTGTAGGTTGCACGCACAGCAAATTCGGCCATGGGATGGGAGTTTCCTCTAGCTGTTCAAGTGCGCTTTGGTGGCTGGCTGCCTACTGGGAGATGAGGCAATCATCTCTGCCTGGAACACGTGAGTTTACTTGAGTCCCACAGGTTTGCATTGTGTTTCTCTATGCTAGATCCGCCACGCATTCAGAGCCTGGAGGAGCCAGAGCTGCGTCTGGAGCATTGCATTGAGTTTGTGGTGCATGGGAACCCAGTGCCCAGCCTTCACTGGCTGCACAATGGCCAGGTCCTCAGGGAGACTGAGATCATCCGCATGGAGTTCTATCAGCAGGGTGAAGTGTCTGAGGGCTGTCTACTCTTCAACAAGCCCACTCACTACAACAATGGCAACTACACCCTCGTGGCCACCAATCCGCTGGGGACAGCCAACCAGACCATCAAAGGGCACTTCCTCGAGAAGCCCTTTCCAGGTGAGAGAGTCACAGCTTACGTTTCTGTAGTGCCTTGCATCTCGGAGCACTTAACAGGCTGCTATACAAGCTATGCACCAGGATCGCTGAACCTCTCATTAAAATACAGTCCCCTCTGGTGCACAATATAGTAACTGTTTACCAGCATGGAGCAACATTGCACAAGAGTCTAGACACGGGTGTGAAAAAGAGTTGTGTAACCAGTTGAAATCTAAGGGGATTTTAGGGAGGGAGGATGTAATTATCCAAACTGGCCATGACGTAAGAGCTAACATACCTATTGGTGCAAAAAGGTGCCTTGACGTCTTTGGGGGCTTTGAATGGTCATGGCCTTTGTGTCAAGTCTCATCTGAAAGATGGCGGCTTGAACAACAACACAACATCATGATGGGACACTTGGGTCTGATCAACTACATACAGACCAGGCATGGCCCTAATTAGCTTGTGAAGTTTGCCCAACCCATGCAATATGATGGCAGGGGACCCCACTTTCTTCTTTGACAGGAATCTTAATCAGCATCTTAAGGGGAAAAAGGGTGAACGTTTGACGGAAAAGAAAATGACTGACTGGTTTTTGACTTTGCATTCTGCAGTGTTTTGGTGGTTCTTGCTCCATGACTTGTCCGTGAGAGAAGGGCTTAGGGCATGCAGTGTATCATGGGTTACTCTGACGCCCCTTAGAGTGGATTCCCATTCTTTTGACACTGAATATTTGGCATATAACTGGGGTAGTGGTTGTGTGTGGAGGAAAGCCCTTTTGAGGGACTTGGTGATCTCATTTTACTTCTTCTATAAAATGGCTGTAATCTAGATGGAATGTCATCAGGATTCTACATATTTTATTAAAAAAAATCTGTCAGTTTTTTTTGGTGCAACAGCCCCCACAAAAACTGTGACTCCCCCCAGTTCCTCTGCATCAACTGTTTGTTAGGCACTCTCAGGAAATGGTTTTAAATTCCTCACTGTGTCACTAGGTGGTGAGTGGTGAAATTGTAGAAGGAAAAATTAAGCTCTTGTTATAAGGTGTGCATTAGAGAGGGTTGTCGTGGCTGTACTGCAGTGAAAGAGTGGGAGGGTTCTTGCACTTCCTTCTGCTTTTGCATCACCAGATCAGGCCCCATGGAGTTAACAGAGCGGTGCATGCTATTGCCTTCAGGAGTGATGCCGTGAGAAAGTGGCAGCCCCAAGTTGGCTCCTGCAGCCCCTAGAAAATTGAGCAAAATAGGGCACTTGCTATATATAGAGCAAAACCAATGGTATTTTCATTTATTATTTATATCATACCGTCAATGCACACAGAGCTTTCCGGCAGGTCAGATATAGTAAATGGAAACCAAATCTCTGCCTTGAAGAGCTGACCAATCTAAAGACATGAACAGATACAGAAGGGAGTGGGAAAATTATATTCAAGATTCAAGGATGATAATCTGTCTAGCTCCTTAATCTATGTAGGTTTTCTGCTATCTGGGAGGAAGGGCAGTCTATGTTTCTGGCACAGGGGTGGGAGTCAGGAGATAGGGGTTATGTTCTCACCTCTGTCGCTTCCCATTTCTGTGATTCAGTTCCCATGCCTGCAGAATGGGGATAATAACATTTTGTTTCTGATGCATCCACAATGTGCTAGGCAGGTTCGGCCAATCGCGGCTCCCGACTGGCCGCGGTTCGCCGCTCTGGGCCAAGTGGGGGCGGCGGGAAGCCATGGCGAGCACATCCCTCTGCCTGCGCCACTTCCTGCCGCCCCCATTGGCCTGCAGCGGCGAACCGCGGCCAGTGGGAGCTGCGATCGGCTGAACCTGTGGAGGCGACAGGTAAACAAACTGGTCCAGCCTGCCAGGATGCTTACCCTGGCGAGCTGCGTGCCAGAGGTTGCTGACCCCTGTGCTAGGCACTTACCAAAGGTAACAGGAAGCAGGTCGGCTGCTCCAAAGAGCTGACACTAAAAATTCATTCCAGCCTTGCCACCATGTTGAGAGAATAAGCTAATGCTTGTAAAGTGTTTTGAAATCCTAGTATAGAAGGTGCAGGACAAGGAAAGACTATAGATAGACCTAATCCCAAAGCTTCGCTGCCTTTTTCTACCTGCCACTACAAACCCATCCCCTTTTTTCCTCCCATAAGCCTGTGTCCCAGAATCTTTCTCACTGTGGCAGCCCCCGCCCATGATGTAATCAGTACATGATTTACTTTTCTTGAAGATCACTGGTCCGTACATTGCCAAAACTGACATTAACATTCAGTGCATCTGAAATTTATAGTCTTGCATCTGGAAGTTGGTTTCTCTAAAAAATGTCAGGAGCTGCACATTCAACACGCCTCATTCCTGCTGCTAGTTACACTGGGGAGGTTTTTGCTGCAACCTGCCAGGAGCAGAATTTTTTAAAATTAAAGTTTAGAGTCTCATAGATTCATACACTTTAAGGCCAGAAGGGACCATCGTGATCATCTAGTCTGACCTGCACATTGCAGGCCACAGAACCTCACCAACCCATTCTTGAAATAGACCCCTAATCTCTGGCTGGGTTACTGCAGCCCTCAAATTTTGATTTAAAGACTTCAAGTTACAGAGAATCCACCATTTACTCTAGTTCAAACCAGCAAGTGACCCATGTCCAAAGCTGCAAAGAAAGGGAAAAAAATCCCAAGGTCTCTGCCAATCTGACCTGGGGGAAAATTCTGTCCTGACCCCAGATATGGTGGTCACACCCTGAGCATGTAGGCAAGACCTGCCGGGCAGACACCTGGGAAAGAATTCTCAGTCGGAACTCAGAGCCCTCCCTATCTACTGTCCCATCTCTCGCCATTGGAGATATTGTCTAATAGCAGTTGTGGATGGGCCATATGCCATTGTAGGCAATCTCATTTAAATTAAGGGCCAATGCTGGCAAAAGAACAAATGAATATAAACTGGCCATCCACAAGTTTAGGCTTGAAATTACACACAAGTTTCAAGCCATCAGAGGAGTGACGTTCTGGAACAGCCTTCCAAGGGAAACAGTGGGGCCAAAAAACCCTAACCTATTTTAAGACTGCATTTGATAAGTTTATGGAGGGGATGGTACAATAACTCCTCTCCCTCTGTGGTGTTTTTCTCTCTGATGTATTTATAGAGCACAATTGTATCACCCCTCATCCTTCATTTTGTTACGCTAAACATGCCAAGCTCCTTAAGTCTCCTCTCTTAAGGTAGGGTCTCCATTGCTCTGATCATCCTAGTAGCCCTTCTCTGCATCTGTTCCAGTTTAAATTCATCTTTCTTAAACATGGGAGACCAGGATTGCACACAGTGTTCCAGATGAGGTCTCACCAGTGCCTTGTATAATGGTAATAACACTTTCCTAGCTGGAAATACCTTGGCTGATGCATCCTAGGACTGCAATTAGCCTTTTTCATGGCTGGATCACGGTGGTGGCTCATAGTCATCCTGTGATTGACCAATACACCCGGGTCTTTCTCCTCCTCTGTCACTTCCAACTGATACATCTCCAGCTTATAGCAAAAATTCTTCTTGTTAGTCCCAAAATGCACTTTGTACTGTTAAGTTTCATCCCATTTCTATTACTCCAGTTTTCAAGGTCATCTAAATCTTCTTGTATGATGATCTGGTCCTCCTCCGTATTGGCAATATCTCCCAACTTAGTGTCATGCACAAATTTTATTAGCACACTCCCACTTTTTGTACCACGGTGATTAATGAAAATGTTAAATAAGATTGGTCCCAAGACTGACCCTTGAGAAATTCCACTAGTAACTTCCCTTCAGCCTGACAGCATGACCCATTGTTGTCTCCTCATTAACCAGTTTCTTACCTACCTTTTGATTCTTGTATTAATCCCCATCATCTTCAATTTAACTAATAATTTAACTAATCTACTGATCTAACCATGTGGAACTGTATCAAATGCTTTACTGAAATGCAAGTAGACGAGATCTACTGCATTTCCTTTGTCTAGGAAATTGGTTATCTTCTCAAAGAAAGAGATTAGGTTGGTCTGGGGTGACATACCTTTTGTAAAGCCAATGTTGTATTTTATCCCAGTTACTGTTCACCTCTATGTCCTTAACTACTCTCTCTTTCATAATTTGTTCTAAGACCTTGCATACAATTGAGGTCAAACTAATGGGCCTGTAGTTTCCCAGATCACTTTCTTTTCATTTCTTAAATATAAGTATTATATTTGTAATTCTCCAGTCATAAGGTACAACCCCCGAGTTGACAGATTCATTAAAAACCCATGCAATTTCATGTACCAGTTCCTTTAATATTCTTGGATCGAGATTATCTGGGCCCCCCAATTTGGTCCCATTAAGCTGTTTGAGTTCCATCTAATTTCTACTTCCATATACTTGTTCCATTAGTTACCCTGCCACTGCCCTCAAGCTTCTCATTATCCTTATTAAAAACTGAGGCAAATTATTTGCTTAGGTGTTGGGCCATACCTTTATGATCTTTAATTTGCACCCCATCCTCAGTGCTTAGCAGTCTCACTTCTTTCCTTTTTTTTTTTTTAAAGAACCTTTTACTATTGGTTTTAATTTCCTTTGCAAGGTCCAACTCTGCTTGGCTTTTGGCAGTTCTCACTTTTCCCCCTACACTTTCTGACTTTCAAGAGGTAGCTCTCCTTGCTGTCCATCACTTCTTCCTTTCCTTGTAGGCTTTCTCTTAATAACCTGTTTGAGATGCTTGTTCATTCAGTTTGGTCTTCTATCCTTCCCTAAGAATTTTTTCCCCTTACTCAAAGTAATTCCAAGCCTCCTCCACATTCAGATCCTTGAATTCTTCAATCCAATCCACTTCCCTAACTTATTCCCTTAACTTTTTCAAGTGTGCCCTTTTGAAATCAAGGATAGTTGCAGACCTATTTTTGTTTATCCTTCCATTTAGTCTAAACTGAATTAATTCATGATCACTTGAATCAAGGTTGTCCTCTACAACCAAGAGTCCTATGAGGTCCATGCTACTTACCAATACTAAATCTAAAATAGCATCATATCTTGTAGGT